TGTTTTACTTTACTTTTCCTTTATAAACCACAACCAAATTTTTAGAGTTGCAAAGTAAAAACCAAGATCAAATTTAGACATGTTGTTTGAAATTAGCAAAGATGAAACACTTCAATGACAGACAAAAGCCCTGATTTTAAGAGTAGGTTTTTGCCTTCCCTGAAATGCCTAGCTCAGGCTGTGTATTTTTATGCCTGCAGATATTGGCATGTTTCACATTTAAGATTATGACACACCAACTTATTTTGAAATTTAAAAAATCTTCCACTGCGCATGTTTCAAGTGCTTCATGACTGTCACTGATAATTGAGCAATTAACTTGAAATTACCAAATGTGCTGTGATGGCATAATATGTAGTGAGCAACATGAAAGAATAAAGAACAGAGGAACTTGGTACAGTGAAAAAAAGTAATAAAGAGTAAAATAGGCTATAATAATAATAGTACTTAGTAAGTTTTAATGGTTCCAGGTCTCAGTAGTTTAAAAGTACAATAAAATGGTTTAATGAAGTTCTGAGTATTACTAACTTTCTAAAGCAGTTTGTTCTGTTGCTACAAAAAGGAACTTTCTTTCTAACTGGTCTTGTGTAATACTCAGGGATTGGTCCAAAATATAAATGAGGGCGTTTCACTAAACAACAAGCACAACACAATAAAGTTAAAAGTCCTGACAAGAAGATTCTGAAGAAATACACAATTGCAAAAAGTAGTTGTAAGGTCATTTTTTGAATGTAAAACAGATAAAGCAAAAATTCTAGGGGTAAAGTTACCTCACAAAGGCTTCAAGCTATTGTGATCATATTTACAAATAAAAAATTAAGATGCATGGTGGAAGACAGAAGAATGAAACTTAGCTCTACTGGAAAAACCAGAATAATTTTTACTACTCATTTTATCAAAGTCTCTACTACTGGGCTTTTCCCAGCTAAAACTATAATGTGACAGTAAAGAGTAGCTTTTTTGTGCTTAAACATAGATAGTGAAGTAAATTCCATAAATCTAAATCCCACCTTATTTCCATGGCAGGCCATTTAAAAGGCTTGCAAGAAAACCAACAATTTAGAGTCAGAGAGAGAAGAGATTCAAAACTACAGCAAATAAAAGACACTATTAAAAACATTTTTTCTCAAAATTCCATCAATAACACTCCAAAACACCACTAGAAGATTAAAATTAGGCCAGGATGTCCTTTCAGGTATAAATTAGAAACAGAAAGTAGAAAGAGCATAAAGAATAAGTATCTAAGGATACTAGTATATAAAACTTAAAAGCTTAAAATGTAATGGATATACACATTCAGATTAGCAAACTCCTTTCAATTAAAGTAGATTTCTGGCCACAAGTTCACCAATGTATAGTAGCTGTGTGTATTAATGTAGAAACTTCAAATGTCAGTGTATCTCTAATTAACATGAGCACACAACTGTAAAACTGAGAGGGCACAATTTTAAATTCCTTACATTCTCAGCATTAATGCTTTCGTGGGGCAGCTCCCGTTGTCATGGAAAATGGCATTCAAGCCCTATTTGTGGATTTTCACAGCTCATCTTTTTTATTTACCTGGTCTATGTCAAGATTAGCCTGGAATAATATTTTTTAAAGATAATGCACTTAGACCTACTTGTCCTTAAAATCACAGATGTTCTCACAGAGGGAGCTTTGGTGGGCTATGCTCAGTTTGAAACAGATTTCTTTCCATTTTAAAATACCACAAAGGCATGAATTTGTGATTCTTTTTGTTTGTTTCCTAAAAATCTATGCAACTCAAAAAATTTCAGTTGAAGCATGGTATGTGGCAGTTTCCGAAGAGTAGGAAAATGTCAAGAAGGACCAAATGCTGCAGCAGTATGAAAAAAAATACAAAAACAAACAAACAAAAAAATGAAGTGATAGAAGGCTCTCTCAATCTCCTGTCACTATTTTAACTTTTCAAAAATATTTATCCAGCAGCCAAGTAAAAACTAAGAGAGTGAACAAAGACAAAAAGAGAGCTAAAATTCTCTCTCCAAATACCAAAGATGGTACTAATGAAAATAGTACTGAATTTACACCGTAAATTCAGGTTTGAGCCCTGCTACTGTGCAAAAACGAAGATAATTCTTACACATCCTACAGTTTTCATGAAATTTAGCCAATTTAATGTGTCCAAAATCAAGTGTTATAGCAACTTTAGATACTGTTATTATTTCCTCGAACCTTTGGTTAAATAATTATCGGTTTTTGTATCAGACAATAAAATGCTTGTCAGAGACCTTGGAGGAAAGGTTGCTATTAGAGGCCACGAACTGAGACAGAGTTTTATAAAAGGGAATTCATTATCAAATTGTTAAAGTTGCTTGGGTAATCTGAAAAAGCCAAGTACTCAGTAAACAATCTTTGATTTTGTTGTTGTTGTTGTTGTTTTGTTAGTTTTGTTTTATTTAAGCAATCATTTATTGCCCTGGTAAAACTCAGTCATCAGACTTACACAATTATTTTTTCATTAAAGATAGAAAATTAAATTAGAATACTGAAAGGCAAAACAAAGTCTTCTTACATGAGGCCTACTTTGGGAAAAGAACTAGTTGTTTGTTGTTGTTTTTTAAGGGAAAAATGATTAGAATAAGATGTAGCTTCTGAAAAGATAGTCATGTCTCTTCACTCTGTTTTCCTCTTTTGACCTGGGCAGTAGATGTGAGTAGGTAAGATTCCAATCGGTTCTCACACACTCTTGGTGTGGCCCATTCATTATGGATGTGCAAACAATATCCCACCTTCCTTATCTCACAGTCTGGCTTCTGTACACCTTACTGAGAAACCTTCCCATAACCATGAGGTATAACTTTCTGCCTTAGATCATGTAGCACATAAGCAGTTCCAGAGCATGGAAATTAAAGTTCATAAAAGCCTCTGTCACTGATCCCATTTGCTTGTTCTTAGGTCTAACCAGATTAATATTTCCATTGTTTTAGCTGCCCCATCATTTAGTGAAAGTGATAGACAGTTTCCACAATAATGAAAGAAATAGAAACACAAACATTCTGAATGTCATATTAGTTATATCTCATTTATTTCAGTCATAGCATTCTGCTGAATCTCTTTAATAAGAAGGTTCTGCAGAAATTTTTTTGGATTTTTAAGCTAAACTCCAGAAAATATAAATATATATATATATAAATATATATACTGGGGATGTTGATCAGTGGTAGAATGCTTGCCAAGTATGCATGAGGCTCTGGGTTTGATCTCCAGTGAGGGGTGGGAGGTGCATGTCTTTAATCTCAGCTACTCAGGAGTCTAGGGTAGGAAGATCATTTGAGCACAGGATATTGAGACCAGACTTAGCAACACAAAATAAAAATTTCTATCAACAATTCCTCTTCTAATTTTAGTCTTTCCTTTTATTAGATCACCAGAAAAATTTTCAGCTAATTGGATCACTTCCATTCAAAATTAATCTATGTGTATCTTGGGTGGAAGGTTGGGGGAGGTGAATTCAGGAAATAAAGCCTTTGGGTGAGAAGAAATGTAAATTATAATAAAGACTCACTTGGTTAAAATGATGGTAACTCTATTTGCCACCTGAATCATCATTAAAATTTACTTAATAAAATGATTGAATAATATGAAGGAAAAGAGAAAGAAATAAAAGAAAGGACAAAGCACCTGCGATAAGATTTGAACAGCTCAAAATTATTTCCCTTCACTCAGATTTCTAATAGGATAAATTCTGCTCTTTACAATTCTGTTCTCACCAAGAGCCATTCAAAGATACTTTATATTTCTTTCTCCATCTTCTTTGCCTCCTAACCCTCTCCATTATAACTTGCATAAATTAAAAGCTTATATTTAATTCAAATGAACCATGTAGTTTATACAATTTTGTATTTTAAGCAAGAATTAAGTTTTCAAATAACAAAATGTAAATTGATACAATTTCATAAAATTAACAATTTATTCATTCTTAAATCATTAAAAAATACAAAGTATACTGACATACATTAAATATTACACACATATTTTTTAAAGTTGGTTCAAAATGCCTAACCAAATCAATATTATCACTACTGAAGGTAAACCTGATTGTAAATTAAATTTTCACTGCTTTCTATTTAAATATTGAATCACTTTAACTTATAACATTTTTTCAAATACTTTCATAGAAATATTTTCTCTAAACTTCTTTATAGCAGTACATTGAAAAAGGAAAATTTTCCTATGTTTTTGCTGTTATCAAACGTTAAAAAGCCCTATAAATCCAAACGGTTTACAACAATATACACATATAAATATATTTTAAAATCAAATTACTGATATGTGGACTTATATACACAGAGACATTTTTAAATACCTGCCATAGACTTTCAACTATTTCCATATCATAAATATGCATCAATTAATTTAAAATACTTGAATAGATCTTTAAAGTTTATTCAATTTTTTTCTTAAAATTTACCTACTTTTCAGAGAAAATATATTTAGGGAATAGACTGTATTTTGGGGATGGGAAAGTGGACAGAGATACAAACATTTTGATGTATACTATACTTTCACCAAGTGAGTCTTTGGTTCCTTAGCATAATCTCCTTATGCACTGACAGCTCTTTGAATTCTCTATCATCTCATATCATTTCTCTGAGAACAAGCACATAGCACTTTTCAAGTCCAGATAGCCAGAAATGTAAGAAGTTATCAGAGTAAATTATTCATGTGTATATGGACTAGAATCTTTAACGGAACACATTCCTATAGTTGGGCTCTATTCTCAAAAAGTAAAATATTCTTTAGTCTTATTGTAATGGGCCCTACATTGTGTTATTTCATTGAGAATTACAACAAACAGGTTTTTTTAAGCTGTCATTTTTCTATGCTCTTCCTAAGAAAAAATTTATGAAAAATTATAATGCTTACAAAACACCAGAAAAACTAATAAAAATTCACATATAAGGGGAGTTAAGAACTTATTTATATACTATGACTATTACACTAAATAGTAACAAAAGTAATAAATAAATACTTACAATTACACACAAAAAGTCAGCCCCAGCACCCAGAAATCACTGGTAAATTGCCTTTGAATTCATGAAAGTGACCTGAAAATTTAGACACAAAATGAAAAAAAAAGGATAAGTAAGTTGTATTTATGTGTTTTATTTAAAAAGTATATATTCTGGCTATAAGTCATACTATTTTTAATTCAAGCAATTGTCCTCATCTACTCTAACAGCAAAATCATGATGCCAAAGAAACAATTATTTCATCGTTCTGAATCTAAGAATACAATATCCACATCTGTTATGGCTCTTTGGAAAATTGTCAGTAATAAGTGTTTAAAAGTACAAATAAGTAAAACTAAAGGGGAGATTTTGAAAATGCAGGAGTAAGAAAAATTACATTTGAAAAACATTTAGGTTTGCAAATTAAAATGAATTAGCTTTGTAGAGAACATCTTTAATATGTTCAACAGAAATACTTTATAGGTCAAATAAGAAAGGAAGTAAGTTTTGATCTACTAAGGCATGGACCCATTAGATCCTGAGGCCTGTATGTGCTATAATTCAATTCAAAATTGTTTTGGTTGTACACACTTTAATGTTGGCTGAGAGGTAACAGATGCAACTCAAACACACAAAACTAGCCATATAAAAATCTTTAGCATAGGGTCGAAGATTTAGCTCAGTGGTTCTGCCACCTGCCTGGCAAATGCAAGGTCCCGAGTTCCATCTCTGGTACCAAAAAAAAATGTTTAGCACAATGAATCACTTCATCCTCCTAAATATCTATGGTTTCCTTTCTCCAGAACCTCCGTGCATTAGAAGGTAGTTTGGTAATTTATTTTTATTGTTTGGTCTAAATACAGCACATTTTTAGTTCCATGAAAACAAAGAAACTTTGTTGCAGAAATTGTATTCTTTCCAGAAAGAGGATGGCTATGAATAGTGCTCAAATGAAAATAATAAGGGAGCTTGAGTTTCTAATTTAGGTCAGAATCTTTCTTAGGATCTGGGGATTGGTTTGATTCGTTGTGCATTTTTTAAAATATAGCCAGTAAACATCTAGGTTAGACAGATCTAACTAGGTTTAAACAAAGTTCTTTCTGGGAAAAGAAATGTTGATCAACAGCATTAACAGGAACCACTGTGCCTAACTTTGTAGTTACAGCACAAATGGCCTTAACATATTATGTATCAGCATTTGAAACTAAATTAGGATATGAAGTAAATACCTAACCCAACCTTTCACGAGTCCCTAAAATATCATTTTACCTAAGTGACCCAGAAAATTTATTCATTTTCTAGTCACAATTGATAGATAATAACGGTCTGGGCAGGTGGAGAGCTTTAAATATGAATGGCTGGGGCCAGGGATTTAGCTCAGTGGTTTTGGCGCCTGCTGCGCAAGCGCAAGGACCCGAGTTTGAACCCCGGTACCAAATAAATAAATATGAATGGCTAATATATCCATTAGGTTTCCTCACTAAATCACCTTGTTTTTAAAAGGAATGGTGTCTGAAACCTTCCCCAATCTGGTTTCATCGGTTTGCATCAAACTGATAATGCTCACTTCCACAGAAGCAAGAAGACTCTGGGCAGGGGAAAGTAGTTCTAACATTAATTTGGGATATTATATCCTTTTCTACTTCTTGGCTTTCTGTGGCTCTGGCTGGGAAAGTAATTTTATCTGGGACACCACATAACCCTACCTGCTCACACTATTTAAATGTCCAAGACCAGCAAAAGTACTGGGTCTAATAAAAGCTATTTTCACTTTTTATTTCCCCTGAATTGTACATTATAATTTCTTTGTAAAGAAATTAACCACAAAATAAATCTGTAGCAAAATCCTGTATATCTAAAAGGGTTTAGTCTTTGCATATGTAAAAATATCAAACCTTTTTTTTTACTGGCAATTAATTCTTTTAAGGGCATGAATTGGAATTATACAAAATACATGATATATCTCATTCCTTCATCTTCATGTAAACAGTGGGAGGGGAGTGTAAAAGAAAATGCAACCAGAAAAAACTGTGGCTAAGATAGATCTAATTGTTTACAAGCATTGGACTATAGGAGTTAAGACGCTAACTCTAGAAATGCTTTTAATCTTAAAGTAAGTCAGATTCCAGACATTCAAGGCAAATAATGTTTCAATATATACCAATAGAAAGTAAATAAATTTCACGTGTCTCATCAACAGTCCTACTACATAAGTTAAAAGCAACACTGAATTATATCATGAACTGACTGAAGTTACTGGTGAAGTCTAGAGCAAATAATTAAAAGAAAGTAAGTTCTTAAGGTCACAGAGTTCATTATTATAAGGGAAAAATTACTTTAATGAATATTTATTTATACAGAGAATTTAGGAATAAAGAAGAAATATTTTGTAATAAACATTAATGCACACATATTGTAAACTACTTCTTTAAAAAGAGTTTACGCTAAAGAAAATATTTCCAAAAATAAACATGGTCACTTTGGTCCTGCAGTAGCACAAAAGTAAGAAGTATAAAAAAGAATGCCAGAGCAAATCACCATCTATTCTGGAAAATCATAGTCTTTTTTAAAAAGCAGTGTTCAGAACACCCAATCACATATGGACTGATCCAATCCTTTCTGCTTATTCAGCAAGTAGTGATCGTGGGCTAGGAACTATACTGGAAAGTAACAATACAAAATGTAAACATTTTTTTAAATGGTCTTCCCCCTCAAGGATTTCAATCAATAATCCAACCTGCGCCATAGGCTTTTACATCTAACCATGGTGGTGGCTTGATTCATACCACTGTCAAGTCTTTTACACATTCTAACTTTATTAAACTAAAAAATACAATT